AATGATCAGAATAGTCGTATCGATAACGTATGGAAAGTTACATGGATAAAAGTTATCATAATTCGATAAATTTGACTAGAATTTTTTTAGAAGAACTATGATTTTGATGAAAAAACCCAAAATACTAAATATTTGAAAACTGAAATAGGTAGAACATAACCTATTTGACCCGAGCAAATTTCATAGATGGACTGACTGATAAAAACGGCTCTTTGAACTCCAATATCTAGTTTATCTCTCCCCTCTCTTTTTCTTCTCAAAATTTATTATAACTTCTGTAGCTTGAGGAATGAGGAAAACATAATAGATGGAATGGTTTTTGATAAGTGGAGAAGATTTTTTTATAATAAAATAGTTAAAGGATGCAATGATAATTATGTCAATTATTTATTTTTTGCCATAAAATTCTTATAAATCTTTTTATATTATTAAAATTGAGGTTTCAAAAACTATGGAAAAATATTCATAGGTTAACTTAGAATGTCTATAATAGTAGCGAGCCACCATCACTAGTTGATCTAGAGATTGAAAAGATACTTGGAGTAGAGGCAAGCGACATGTATTGTGCAATTCACTATGGCCGACCAAGTGGAGGATGCTCAAGGTCTAGCCAAAGGGGGCATTGACCTTGAGAGATTCTATGAAATTAGTAAAATGAGTGAGGTCTTTTAATATATTATTCACTTTAGGGCTAAACAATACAATTTATGATATAGAGAAGATATGAATAACTTATGTAAGAGGGATTATAGAATTGGTTTATCTAGCTAGTGAAAAGGCTTAGAGATATTTTGGGCAAGCTATCATCCATTCATAAATTATTATTATATCTAATCATGCTAAATATGACAAATAGAGGAACAATTTTTAATCTCCAGCTTAACGCTTCATATTTTTTTTATATTTCTCATTAGATGTTTGCATATAGGAATTCAAATGTGCATATAATCTAGTTTTAAGTATGAATGAGACATTTTTGGATACAAAATGTCCAAGCATCTAATACATATATTTATCTAATAATATTTGCGATTATTGACCAAAAAATAATGAGTTCTGGATGTATTTCATGATTAAACAGAGAGTCAACTTGTTTCGTAAGAAAAAAACTAAGTTTTTATCTCTAACAGTTAAAATAGAATCACAATGTTTTATCTATATTATGTCCAAAGGCACATCATGGAGTTCGCACTTAGGATATTATAATGTGTATCACAATGAAGTTTAAAATTGATATTTATCATAAAAAAGTACTTGACTTTTGAAATTTATACATCGAAGAGTTGAGTTCTATCGATAATTCGATCATAAACTACAAATGAAGAACAAAAAGTCATAGTTGCCTACCTCAAAAATAAAGTTAGCTTTGAAGAGTAGGCTCATGTTTTTTTCTAAGGGAATTAATACAACTTGATGAGAATTAATATTTCATAGGACTTTATTGATTTTACCAAGAGTGCACATTCCTATCCAATTACCACTTTATTAGAGTTTTTTATACTCAAAATATAGAAATAGACCTTTGATAAATACACTATTGCATTGAATACAAAATTGAAGAAGCATTGATAAAGCTCTTGCATAAGGTTTATACATTAATTAGAAATCAGATTAGCCAATTTGAATTAGATGTCTTAGATGGGATCATTATAGTGACATTTATTTGCATGATGACAAGAGCTTGTAGAAAGTTTAATATTATGAGTTGCTTGTACAAATATGCTTTAGTTAGAGCTCGGGATTGTGGTGTTAGTTATTATAGTTAATGTTTAAAGTTTTACTCACAAGAAGCATAATTAGGTGCATATATTTATTCGAATCAAGTTCGGACAGGCCAGGTGTGTGAACTCTTTAAATTATGCTTGAATGTTATCAAAATTAGTTCAAACATGGTTAGAGGATTTTGCTAAATATTATTAGGACCTTCATTTGAATGAGAATTGAGACTGATTCATGTTCAAACAAGAACAAAACATGCTCAAACAAAGGCGAGAAAACATATCAATTTAAATCAAAATTTTCATGATGAACTTTAGTAATTACTCCACATATAAAATGGGAGGTATTTTAGTTTGATATGAACTTTTGGACATAAATCTCCAAGAAAACATATAACATGAATGTTTTTTTTTTTCTTTTATTTCAAATTGATATTTTAAATAACATGAATGTTAATTCAATTACGACTATGCTGAGTTCTATAAAGTCAAAATTCGCTTTTGTTTCACTCTTTTTAGTTATTAAAATATAATAACAAATTTTCATCAATTTTTTTTAATTAATAATACTCAAATAAGATCTGATAATTATTTTAATAATTAAAATATACGAATTTTTTTAAAATGTTAGTAATAGTTAAAAAAGTGCTATTAGCATGCATTTATTAAAAATGATAAGTTGATCTATAAAAAACATGTGATTTTCAAATTATGCATAAATAGTAATTGAATAGATTTAAGAGAAATTTTATATATAACTATACATAAAAATAAAAATTCAAATCCCTAAAATTTTCAATACACTAATGGAAAATCGCTCATTACCGGCGGTTTTTGCCGGCCGTTTACAATTGTTTTCCGGCGGTTATGTAGACCACCGGCGGCTTTTCGGCTGTTAAAAAACCGTTGGGAAAAACGACGCCGAAAATCATTACCGGCGGTATCTTTCCGGCGATTTTTTTTCACCGGCAATTTTCCGGCGGTTGTTTCACTATTTATATAACTATTTATATTATAGAAACTTTGTATTAATCTTACCTTCTCGAATTTGTTTTTATAATTTTAACATTTCAAAATAATTGCATTAAAATTGATAACAAAAGTTGATTTATTTATTATTTAATAATTAATTAACTTCTTAAAATATTTGCACAAATTTTAATATTTATTTCACTAAATTCAAAATATTTATTCTATAAGTCAACTTAAATTAGTAGTTGCTACACTAATATTAAATAATTTTTTAATTGAATTAATAATACTTTGTGAAGCTATCTATGACCTAACAACAACAGTAATAACAATAAGATTTTCTCTCATTATGCGGAGTCAGCTACGCAAATACTTTTTCTCATTTATGTCCTATTAAGAATTAAATTCTTATTTAATTTTAATATAAAATATAATTTCTAATGTTTTTCCAACCAAATTATATATATTTCTTTTCTTAACATAGATTGAATCTAATATATCTACTCTCCTAAAAAGTCATTAGAAGGCCGACATTTTATATGATCAAATTATTTAAGATGACTCTTTCTAATTTTATCTATGATTTAAAATTTTAAAAATATTATTTAAATACACCACTCATTATTATCACATAAAAATAATATTTATTTTAGGAGAAAAAGATCAAAATAGTTTCTCGATTTTTTATACAACAACATCAAGCCTTCATCCAATTACATGTGAGGTCGGCCATATGAATCTTTTTTCTCCATTGTGTCATGTTAAGAAAATTTTATTTGGTCAGGTGACCAGACGTAGAGCTATGTTCGGCGAGCGCTGAGAATGAGCCACGTAGCAGGCAGAAAACCGCGAACCCGACGATTAGTGGTCGGGTATGTCGCACATGCGTTTTTTAAATCCATGATTACCCGGTATTGCTAGATATTGCTCGGTATTGCTAGGTATTTGTCGATTTTGCTCGGCAATAACAATAAATTCCATTATGTAAAGACAAATACCGAGCAATACCGAGTTTTTCTAGAAAAACTCGGTATTGCTTGTTATTGCCAAGCAATACCGAGATAATACCGAGTAATACATAGCAATACGCGAACATAGCATTCTCGGATTCTAGTCCGTGTCAAGTCGTTGGGCCGTGCGGTAAAGAATAAGAGCACGTGGCGCGATCTCAGTGGTGACCGAACGTAGAGCTACATCCGATCACCGGACCTAATAATTGTTCCCTGTTAAGTGTCAATTTCCATTTAAATCTAATAAAGAAATATCAATTTTTAATGATTATCAAATGCATTAAATAATTATTTTATTCTCTTAATTCTTTAAAGAGAAATCAAAATAGTCTAATATATTTAAAAAGTTGAGAGATAAAATGATCATTTAATCTAATTAAGAATTATTTTAAAAGTCGAGAAACTTTTTTGATTTTTTCTCTTTGTTTTATCAATATTTGCAAAATTCTCAAAATATTTATATAAATAAGATTTCAACGTCAATTGCGTTTTGCCTGCGTCGTGCAGCTACGTTCTGCCGTTTCCACGTCTTTTTCATGCAGCTCCAAAATCCTTACGACGTGCAAATTAAATTACAACCAAGACTTGATCACACACATTCGTGCACCCATCTGTGTGGACGAATGGGTGCCTGTGGGTGCCCGAAATATGCACGCCAAAGATTTGTTGGCCTCGTTGCAAGTACGGCCTCTATCGAGTGACCGTAAAAAGCGGTGACCACATCCCGAATTCACGATTCGCAGAGACGAGAAAAGGCACGGTGGACGCAGCTTTGATGGGAATTTTGCAAATATGTACCTATACAAATCTTATTTTGCAATACCATTCTTACCAGAAAAGGCTTGAATTGACATCTTTACCAAGAAAATTTATTGTGCGTGGATAATGCTGTGTGCTTTCTAGTTGTGCGTTACTAAAATTATCAGGTAAGTAGGTAACAATAAATAGATTATTATTTTATATAAATATTATATAGATTAATATGTAACAATATCTATATTATTATTTTAGATAAAATATAGGCACAATACATAATTTCATATTTATTATAATTTTTAATTCAATGCTCTAAATTTATATGAATAAAAAAAATTAAATTTATATTGATATTATTTTTAACAAAAAATATATTTTAATATGCATTTATTTGAATTATGAAGCACCCAAAAAATAATGCGTCAATTCTTCATGCTTTCAGCTAAGGAGTGAAATTTTTTCTTTTCCAGGTGGTATTCTGTAAAATAGTTTCGGAGGGGAATAAGTGCAAAAAAGGTCTCATCTCCCCCTTTAAAAGCCTGTAAGGCTTTCTCCCTCCTCGTTTCGTCTTTCTCTCTCCTTGTTTTCTTATCCTAAACCAGAAACCTGAAACACCTTGCTCCTATTTCGCTCTCCTCATGATTTGGAAGAACCAAGTCGGGATTATCTGAAGCGTTTCGCCCCTACATCGCGGGTCGGATCGCCTCCTGCTGCAGTCATGTCGTCGTCATCTGCGATGGCGACATCGGGGCGTAAGATCTGCTTCAACACTCAGTGCAAGAAGGTGATAACGGAGCAAACTCGACGGAAAGGATGGAAGCTGCGGTCCGGCGATTATTCCGAACTCTGTGAGCGTTGCTTGTACGCAAGCCCACCTCTTCCTCTCTTCTTCAACGTCCTTCCCACCTTTTCTTTGTGGTCTTTGAAATATTGTTTTGGCAGACAAGTTGTCGTGGAATGTTTAATTAGGCGACAAATTTATGCATTAATTTTATTTTTAGGGAGAGAGGTATCTATTTGGGGTTTGAACATAAGGTGGTTTAGTAGTTGAGTGAATCCTGTTGGCATTTTTGCCTTCTAAATCGTTTCTCGTGTCCGTTGTTGTTCAAATGGGTAACTTTGAACCCATGCCGTTTGATTGAACGTTATTTCTTCCTCATCCGTTGCTGAAGTAATAGTGCATTTGCGAGATTGGATTGCTTCAGCGAAATTGTGAATTTGAAATTGGTTATAGTTTTTTTAGCATTACATTTATTGGATTCTTGTGCATTGTAAAGTGAGCATTAGGCTATTAACATTACTATTTTTGGATATTTATTTAATTAATTTTGTTGTTGTGCCGTTGAACAGCTCTAGTTTTGACCATGGGAACTTCTGTGAGACATTCCACTCGAATGCTGCTGGGTGGAGGAAATGCGAGTCATGTGGCAAGGTAAGGTGAATTTTGGAGTGGGCTTCAAACTTATCTGTTGGATTTCATTGTTAAATAGAATTGCTACCCATATTTACGATAAGAAAAATGTTTGCTTGGATTGGTTATTCTTACTGCTGCATTGCCCTTCATATTTATTTTGGTCTCTCTGCAGAGGATTCATTGTGGCTGCATAGTTTCAATTCCTGTCTATATGCTTCTAGATGTGGGAGGAGTTGAGTGCATGGCCTGCGTAAGGAATTCTTTTTCGGCAGTAAGCCCCATTTTTTTTCCTTGGTAGCTCTGTGCCGTTTTTGGTTGGAGGTTGCACATTTGATTATTGATTTTTAGTTTTTTTCTTTAATACTCCTGTTTTTGGGCTATTTGAACCCTTGCTATACTTTTGAAAGATACCACATGGGAAAAATACGCATTTTCTTCATCTTCCTCTGTTGAAATATTTAAGTAGATATAGCTCTGTAACTTTTCATTGTTATCATGGTCTTTTTTCCAACTGGGAGTTTTTCTTGCACTAGCTAGCAGGCAATTGTAGTTTTGGTTATTGCTCTTTTCATTTTTTTCTCCCAAATTCTATTTTGGATGCACACTAGTTTTGCTGAGATTTGATAAATTTTTTCTTTATTTTTTTAAAGGATATAAAATAATATGGGAGAGAAGTTGATGCCAAGTTTCATGTAATATAGATTTGCTTTTCAAATATTTACATCACTTCATGTATAAATATATGACTTTGATTGTACTGGAAAAAGGAATAACAGGTTATCTATTATCAATTGTTTTAGTCAGGTATCAGAATTTAATCATTCAATGTCATATGATCACTTCACTTGGGCATCAAGTATGTATTGTAACAGTTTTTGCTCTCTGTCATATTTTGTGGTATATAATCCGATATCTGCAACTGAGTGTGCTCCTCACCATTCGCCATTACCTGCTATTTTGTGACAGTATTTTTTATTCGGCTGCAATCTTTTCCTTTTTACTGTTCTATTTGCCCGCCAGTAGGTAAGTCAACACTGTCACCACTACCACCTTCCGTTCGCCCTACCCTTTTGATGTAGTGGATCGTCGGAAGATGCGACCTGCAAGAAGAATTTGGGTTTTCCCAATCCAGGGAAGAAGAAGAAGCTTTCAAAGCTTTTAAAAAGGGGATAATTTCATTCAATGCCTTTTTCTTCTACAAAAACTCATACTTATAAGACCAAAAGAGCATTCTAGAAGGAAATAACACAAAATAGATAAAGTACGCCTAAGGAACCATTTAGTTAAGATGCTCTGCATCACCTTTCTTGTTTAGTAATGGAATCTGTAACTTTGTCATGTATGACATTTTATTAGCTTTATTCTGAGTTGCAATATCATGTTTAATTGAATTAGTTAATATGCATGAAATGTATTTTGGGCATAGTTGATCATGGAATATTAGCCTTGAACCATGTTCCTTAATATATATAGGAAATTTGTTGGGATGCCTTAAGTACTTTTATGTTCTTAGTTTTGTTTCATGTTTTATTTTACTTTTTTTTTTTTGCGGAAAGAATTCTCATGTCTATCTTTATGTTTGTCTCCACCACCTTCCTTACTGATGAGGGTATTTCCGTTGCATTGCTAGGTAGTTGCTCATAGTGGTTGTTTTCTTACCCATCTGATAATGTTGAAGTAAAGAATGCAATATTTTCAGGTATCAAATCAGATTAGCTCACCTCCAGTGGCTCTTTCTACTAAACTGCCTGAGAGATCAAAAGCATTCCCTGTTAAAAGCTGGAACCAAGTGTCTGGTTCATTTCCAGGACAATGGCGACATCCGACTAACATATGGAATTCATCAAGTATCCAATCTGACTTGCACCAACGACTATCATATGAGTTTGATAGACCTAATGCTGAGAGATTGATGGCCGGAGCACGTTCTTCTTTTTCTTCACAGGAAAAGAAATCTGAAGACATTCATGAAAAGATTGCATCTAGTGGTCCAAATCATGTTGCTCAAGATATGAATGGTGAGAAAACATGCATTTACTGACTAATTTTTTGCTTTTATCAAATGAGAAGTACCGATTGATTTTATTGTTCTCAACAAATTTTAGGGGAAAACAATTTGATTACTATGAGAAAAGTGATGGCTTCAGATCCTAGTACTTCTTGCTTCTCAGGTATTAAATTTGAGGCGCATCAAATTTCACATGGAAGTTCATCAGTGAATTCAAAGGGGGACTCAAGGTCGTTATTGATGGGATTGTCTGCTCCTTTCTCGCCTATTAATGGAACAAATGATCCATCCCAGGTTTCAACAACACAACCACAACGACAAGTTGCTTCTTCCACTTTGTCCAAACAATGTTATCCCAATTCTCTCAGCAGTATTGACTCCACTAGTGAATCACCAGCTCATATGCGCAATGGAAAAGGTCGATTCGATCCTGGAGCACGGTCTCATTTACTTCCTCGATATTGGCCTAGGATAACAGATCAAGAACTCCAACAAATATCTGGAGAGTATCCATTACATTTTTGCCATTGCAATCATTCAACTTGATTTAAACATTGCATGTAATGTTTTCATAGGTGAACTAGTTATTATTCTTTACAATATGCATTCTTCTTTTTTATTCAATTCAATATTTACTTAACATTTTTGGAAGTTCAAACTCTGCCATAACTCCTCTGTTTGAAAAAATGCTGAGTGCTAGTGATGCCGGCCGTATTGGACGTCTTGTGCTGCCTAAAAAATGTGCTGAGGTTAGTGTTACTAGTTTCTTGATTAATCTTAAATGATTTTTTGTGAGTCTTGCACTTAAAGACTAATGAATTTGTTTACTAGAGCTTTGTAGCTTCGAATGTCATGCGTTTGTAATGAAAATCTATAAGATCTAGAGTGTTCTTGCACATTCTATTGTCTTGTTATACTATCTAGAAGTGACATTTTTTGCTCCTCTTGATGAGGAGGGAAGCATGAGAGGAATAGAAGCGGCCATTTAAGTTTGAGAAGAAATGAAAAAAATTACTCTAGAATCGATTTATTTCATAACTAATTGTGAGTAATGCTTATGTCGATGTAGGCGAGAAGAAAAGATCATGATATACAATAAATACGAGATTTATATTCATTCTACTATTAGTCCCTATGTCCATTGTAGCGAGGGAGCAACATTAATTATTTATCGAGGATTACATACAAATTGCACAATACTTCTGAAGAGAAGATGGAAAGCCTTTTATGGTCGAGCAAATGTTTTGCTTAAAGGTCTCCATGAGTGGATGCTAACATGATTTTGCGGCTGTGATCTCATAATCTTTGCGAAGCATAGTGGAATGGTCATTGTTGAGAAGGTGCAGTTTTTTTTGTATTTCTTTTGTACTTTGACAATTTTAGGTCATTTCTCTTATCATACAGATATCATTATATTGCTATAAGATTGTGCTTAAAATACAAAATGCCTAACATACCTACCCAAAATATCGAGGAGCAATGACTTGGGTAGCAAATAACCAAGGAGGGACACAGTGACTAAGGGCAATAAATTGATTATAATGAGATTGCAAGGAAAAGAAAGATTTTGAAGAAGTGAAAAGGTTGACAACTTTTACTGGAAATGTGTTGCCACTTTGGTTAAAATTTTAAATAAAATGGAGAAGGCAATAAAAAGCTGCATTTTCTCTTGTGGTGATGATAAAGGGAGAGATTCGCTGATGCGAAGGGTCTTTGTGAAGGAGAAAGACGGGGATTTTAGAAAGAGAGAGAGGAGTAGTTGTTTGGGATTAAGTAGGGGAAGGAGAGGGCTTGTGGCTCCTTTCTCAATAGAAAGGAGGAAGATGAGGGAGAGGTTTGGCAGTTACGAAAGAAGGAATGAGTGTGTATGGTGCCGTTGTTGCTGGTCCACTTAAATAGCAAGAAGAGTCAGCAATAGGAGTGGGTTTCCCTTGCGAAGATCGTGGGGTGATGATGCTAAGATGAGTATTGCACATTTTAAGAAGAGGGTCAGATGCATGCGGGCTTTTACATCGGCGGGTCTTGAGGTTCCATGTTTTGTTTTACTTCTGTTAGGTTCGCTGCAATATTAGCTCGAAGTGCCTTGATTTGTGGTGTGCACAACCAGATCAAACATTGGTGGAGGATATGTTGCATCTTGAGGATAACAAGAGAGCAAGTGAACTTGGTGCATATTTGTCTACCTTTCCAGAGGGAAGTGTTCAGAGATATGCCTCCTTCTAAGGACACCTCTAAACTCATATTTATTTTATTTTGTATTTATGTTTTCTCAACTGGAATAATGCCATGTCTATATTTTCAAATATAAAATATGTGTTTTTCTTTTTCCTATTTTATTACAACACATTATTTATATAAAATTTCATATTTATGTAGGAGAATCATAATTTATTTCCAAGAAATGTATAATGCATCAGATTTTTGCGAAAGCTACTTAAATTTAACATGGAAATTGTTACAAACAGGCATACTTTCCGCTGATTTCTCAGCCAGAAGGCCTTCCTCTAAAAATGCAAGATGCAAGTGGCAAGGAATGGGTATTTCAATTTCGTTTCTGGCCTAATAACAACAGCAGGATGTATGTCCTAGAAGGGGTTACGCCTTGCATTCAATCCATGCAATTGCAAGCCGGTGACACAGGTGCATTACTTGTTTTAATTTTCTGGGAGTTTTGTGATCTCGAAATTTGTGGTCTCCCAAATTCATATTTTAGGTTGTGGATGAATTTCCTGAATCACACCAAAAACCTTAGAAAAGAAAGCCTAAATGGTATTTTATAGGGTATTTCCATAAAGCTACATTTTCATGTTTTAGCGTGAATTATGGAACAATGAATTTGAAGCTATTGAAATTGCTTTTGCTACAAATTTTTAACTGTTCATTATAAATAAAAAAAACATTTAGACACTTTTAAGGCTTAAGCCTTTTTCTTTAGAAAAACTAACCAACTATCAATAAACTGAAACATTTAATACAATGTGTTTGAATAGTCTTTATTTCTGCATAAGATTGTGATAGGAAGTACTTTGAGTTCGCAAGTAACCCTAAGGGTAATACTTGAGTTTGCAAGCAAACCTAGTAAGAATTGACAAAAACAATGTGAAATAGTGCTGATTTCAAGGAGAAATCAACAAGAATAATGCGGGAAATTTAGTAGATTCGAGAAGAAACACAAGAGAAATACTTTGATTCAATCAATGAACAAAAAAAAAAAAAAGGCAAGATACAAATTTCTTCAATTCGAGAGGAAGAAATATTCTCCAAATCTCTAGCAAAGTCTAGAGCCCAAACAAAACAAACCCTAGATCTCAAAATTCAGCAAATCTCAAGAAACCTCAAACCCTAGCCTCCAAAAGACTAATTAAAGCCAAAGGAAACTTACAAAATCCCTAAACAGCCCCTAATTCAAATTTTCCCTCTTAAACACTTTTTAATTAAGCAAGTGGGCCCCACTAGGGATTCCACCCCCTAGGTTCCGCCCAAAGCCTTGGGCCGCCGGCTGTAAACCTAAACTGGTCCATGTTGGACCGGTTTAGCCGGCTCCTCCTGGGTCGGCCGCTTAACATTACTCCTATAAGGCTCTCAAATATATTTAAAATAATGTAAGCATCAACTTCCTCTAAATGCAAGCTTAATTTTATATACAGTTTACTTGAATTCCAAGCATTTTTTTTAAATTATGAAATTAATTGTTTAATTGATTGTCTTTAGTTATAGTTTATGGTTTAAATGACAGCTAGATTAAAGGCTAAGTATTAGGGAATTATTTAATAGCATGTACTTCAATTACTGTAGCAATTCCACTCAATTACTGTAGCAATTCCACTTAAACTGACATGCATGAAGCTGATGGAAATCCTAGGGCTGAGAATGACTGAGAAGGTTTAGTGGAATTAGAAGGGTTATTATAATGTGATTTATTATGTGGAGACATTAGCTTCTTTTCCCCACCTGTCCCTCCTTGGACATCGGAAGCCAGCTTCAAGCTGAGTAGCGGGAGCCACTTGTTGAGGCTGCTGCTGTGAGATGCTTTGAAGGAGGATTTTAGATAATAAATTTCTGGAATCTAGTTGTTGGAATTCAATAAAATGCTGAAGCTGATTGTGCAGAAGAGTGGTGGAAACTGATGCAGGCTAAGTTGGTGTAACTGGGAGGGAAAGTGAAGAAAGGAGACTTAGGAGAAGAGAGGTCACATTGGGGTGAATGAAGAAAAACTTCTTTGAGGTAAACTTGTAAGATTTTCATATAAATTATTATATGTTATTTTAATGTAAATTTGAATGATCAACAATTATGATTTAGATTGTATATAAAAGGAAAGGAGGCAAGGGTACTTTAGGAGAACGAATTGACCCGACTTCCCTAGAGAACGAGGTGAGATACCTACAGATTATAAGAATTAGTAAATGTTTTCTTATTGCACTTCTTCTTGATTATGTTTATGATCACATGTATTCTAGTTTATTTTGGTTATTTTGTATGAATATGATTGTATATATATGAAATTGTTATGTAAAGGGTAATCTTCAGCGATATTAATGATTTCGTAAGCATAAAAGGGTAAATATTCATAAACTTTAATTATGTTGATGTTCAGTAAGTAATATTACATGCTTCCTGTTGTTAAGAGTGGAGTTTGATATGTTGAAATCCTTCTCTGTTATACTTCAGTTTGTGGTAGAGGGTGAGCCAAACTGGGGTGTGACAACTCCCCTCCCAAAAACTCACATTGTCCTCAAGGTGAAAAGAAGGAAACTGAAGTCTCACTCTGTCGTATGGTTCCCAAGTGGCTTCGAACTCGGGAATGTCTTTCCATCTGATAAGCACTTCCTTGTTCCTCTTTTTATCCACTCTGACCCATTCTAACTCCAGTGGTTCTAAGATCAGTTCCAGCTCCTCTGTCAGTGTATCTGGTAACTCCGCACTAACTACATGCTGCTCTAGAGCTCTCCTCAGCTACGATACATGGAAAACTGGGTGTATGGTGGTCATTGGGGGTAATTTCAATCGATATGTCACTGCTCCAATCTTGTCCATCACCTCGTAAGGACCAAAGTACCTAGGAGCCAATTTCTCATTCCTCCTCTTAGCTACTGATTTCTGTTTTCAAGAACATTTTCTCCCCTACTTCATTCTGCATGTCTCTCTTATGTGTATCTATCCGCTTCTTCATAATTTGTTGTGTCATCCACAGATGTTTCTTTAACTCCTCAAACACCTGATCCCTCTCCTCTAAGTGCTGTTCAACTGAAGAGATTGGTGTATTTCCTCTCCCAAAATGTACTAAGTGTGGGGGGTCATAGAGCACTTTAAAGGAGTCATTTGGGATGCAGAATGGTACGAAGTGTTGTACCAATACTCAGCCCATGGTAACCATTTTGCCCACATCCGTGGTGTTTCAGAAGCAAAACACTTCAAATATGTTTCCAAACTCCGGTTCACCACCTCTGTTTGCCCGTTTGTCTATGGATGGTTGACAGTGCTTCTCTTGAGAATAGTGCCCTGCAACCTGAAAAGCTCCCTCCAAAATTGGTTGAGGAACACTTTGTCTCGATCAGACACAATCGATTCAGAAATCCCATGTTATCTAACCACTTCCTATATAAATGTTGCTGCCACTAATACTGCGATGTAGGGATGTCGTAGGAGGATAAAATGTGCATATTTACTAAGTCAATCCACCATGACCAAAATGATTGTGAGCCCCTCTGAGCGTGGTAAGCCGTCGATGAAATCAATGGACACTTCCTCCCATACTCTGTTTGGAAGTGCTAAGGGTTATAGTAATCCTATTGGAGCCATTGCCATATATTTATTTCTCTGGCACACCTCACACTTTGCCTCCATCTCATCAACATCTTTATACATCCCTTTCCAGTAAAGCTCTAATGCCAGCCTCCTATATGTTCTCTATACTCTTGAATGATCCCCAACTACACTGCCGTGGAACTCCTATAATAAGTAAGGAATGTGTACGGAAGTTCGTGGCTTCACAAACCTCCCCTGATGCAATAACCTCTCCCCCTCAAGATTGTACCCCAAATGGCTACTATTATCTTTCAACAAATCCTCCCTGCTTGATGACGTTAACCTGTGTGGAAGTGGTCAAGAGAATTCATAAAGGATGTATGACCTATCCGAGGTTGTATGATAGAGTACTGCTCGATGATGTTAACCTGCATGGAAGAGGATGGATCGAATCCCTTGGGATCGATCATCCAGTGATTGAGACACAATAAATATTATGTATTTCTCGAATCAAGGATTTGAGATTTTATTGACATCCTCCTAAGATATTTGACCTATTCGAGATTGTATATCAGAGCCCTGCTAAATGATGCTAACCTGTGTGGAAGAGGTCGAATCGAATCCCCTGTGATTGATTTTGCCTTAATTGGGAGGGGGTGAACGCCGCGTATATCCCAAATCAAAGGTGAAAAAATAATTTATCTTTAAACTTTTATTGCCTTTTTAAGGTCGAGATCAAGACCTTGCTCAAGGAGTAGAAGTCCATCAAGGGACTATATGTGGCTTGAAATTTATCGGAAGCATTCTTACATTTGTCGGAAGTTTCATGATATATTGTCTTGGTTTTGAAAGTATTTGAGGGATCTTCTTGACCATAATTGGAGTCAAGGTTGCCCCCCGATTCGGATCTGATTCCCATGAAATTGATGCATCAATAGCAGTTATTAGGAATTTGACATGAATGACCTTTTGAGGTTAGAGTAAAAATTGTCCCCTAGTCGGGAACCAGTTTCCCACAGACGGCGTCAAAGTGTTGGGTCTTGGAGTATTCATGATGGTAGAAAAATATAAAATTTAACGTCTTAGCTTTGTACGAAGATTCAACACACAAGCAGATAAAAGAGAGGGTGTAGCGTTCATAAGAGACACTAGAGTTTTTATGTGGAAACCCCTAAAAAGGGGGAAAAACAATAGGGCCTGGCCCAGTTTGAATGAATCCACTAGTATTTGCTGTCAATTACAAATAAGGCCCTTCCTTGGGAGAAGGCCTTGGCTTGATGTCACAAACGTACATTGTATAGAGCGCATTATATGGTGGGAGTTACAATAATCAACATAAACATGTTTGTTTTGTCGGCAGGATCATAATTTATAAGATAGAGGTCGAAAAGATCGTAGTAGGCAGGAGATAGGGGTCAGAAAGATCGTTGTCTTGCGATGTAGGTCAGATGGACCGTAGTACCCGACAAAGGTCGGAAGGACTATAATCGGTAGGAGACAGGGGTCCGAAAGACCGTAGTTGGCAGAAGACCGGGGTCAGAAAGACCGTTGTCTAGTGATCGAGGTAGGAATGACTATAGTAGGCGACGGAGGTCGGAAGGACCGTAGTCGGTAGGAGACAGGGGTCCGAAAGACTGTAGTTGGCAAGAGACCGGGGTTAGAAAGACCGTTCCCTGGTGATGGAGGTCGGCAGGACCATGGCAGGCGACGGAGGTCGAAAAGGACCCAAGTCGGCAAGAGACAGGGGTCCAAAAGATCGTAGTTGTAGGGCGGTACTCCGATAGAACTGTAGGCGTCAGGTGGTGGCTTAGCAAAAGTCCGGGCCTCAGGTGGTGGTCTGGCAGAACTCCGTACATCAGGTGGTGGTCCGGCAGAAGTCCGGACCTTAGGAGGTGATCCAGCCGAACTCCGGGCTTCAAGCTGTGGTCCGGAGAAGCTTAGGACATCAGATGGTTGTCCGACGAAACTCAGGGCCTCCAGTGGTGGTCCGACGGAACTTCAGGTGGTGGTCGAGGAGCGAGGAGGCAAGAGTGATATCTGATCTCTCTCTTGCTCTCTTGCTTGGAGCCTCCCTTTCAAGAGGGAGGAGGGGTTTATTTATAGATTCCTAGAATGACATGGCCTGTAAATAGGTGAGAGATCAAGGACATATGGGGAGTGGCTTGGATGGACGGCCGATGTTGAATCCCTTGATCATGGACCATTTGATGGACATTTGAATGTCTTAGTGATGTTCGAATTCAGTGATCTTGGGCTCGTTCGATTCGTCTCGTCGAGACGCTCGATTCGACTATAAACACGTCATGTTTAGAAATCGTTTGGTAATCCAAATTGTGGTTCAAACCCTCCAATAGCGCTTTAGACCCTTGATTTAGACCGATTTGGGCTCGGACTGAGTCGAATTTGGTGTCCTTGAGTTCGTATTTCTGTAACGTTCAGTTCGACTATAAGTTTGCTGGAATCGGAGTTTAGATGGCCTCCAATTTAATTTTTGAAATTTCCAACCTGATTTTTCTTCGAGATTTGTGCCCGATCAAGATAAATTTTTGATGATATATTAAGAACAATAACTTTTGTAACTATGATGACATCAGAGATGAGCATGGTGCAAGTTCGATGATGGTACAAGCATGTTGGTGTCTTAGGCAATCTTGATAGTATCATAAGTAAGCCCATTCACTTCATATAATCAAATAACCTCAGTAATTGCGAAAAATATCCTATGCACAAAAGTATAAATTAAGTTTTTATTTTTTTAGCTCCAAGTATCTTATATTGCAAATAGGGCTTCTTTTTTACTTAGGCTCAAAATTTATAGGATTGTAAGTGAAAATTGTTATTTACTCTCTGTTGCAAATATAATGGAAATATTTCCTTTTGTTATCATAGATGTAGGTGAGACAATTTCATTGAACCTCGTAATTTATTATCTTATTTGTTGAATTTTTTGCAATATTTTTTTTTTCATGCTTGCTTTTGCTCTTCAATTTCTCTCAATGGCTAATAAATTTGATTGTCATAAGATTATATCTTCTATAATATATAGTAGGCTGAGGATCGTTATTAGGATGATTGATCTTGGAATAAAGCTAGGACTTTAAACCCTTCAATAGGGAGGAGGGGTTTATTTATAGATTCCTAGAATAACATGGCCTGTAAATAGGTGGGAGATCAAGGACATATGGGGAGTGGCTTGGATGGACGGCCGATGTTGAATCCCTTGATCATGGACCATTTGATGGACATTTGAATGTCTTAGTGATGTTCGAATTTAGTGATCTTGGGCTCGTTCGATTCGTCTTGTCGAGACGCTCGATTCGACTATAAACATGTCATGTTTAGAAACCGTTTGGTAATCCAAATTGTGGTTCAAACCCTCCAATAGCGCTTTAGACCCTTGATTTGGACCGATTTGGGCTCGGACTGAGTCGAATTTGGTGTCGTTGAGTTCGTATTTCTGTAACGTTCAGTTCGACTATAAGTTTGCTGAAATCGGAGTTTAGATGGTCTCCAATTTAATTTTTGAAATTTCCAACCTGATTTTTCTTCGAGATTTGTGCCCGATCAAGATAAATTTTTGATGATATATTAAGAACAATAACTTTTGTAACTATGATGACATCAGAGATGACCATGGTGCAAGTTCGGTGATGGTACAAGCATGTTGGTGTCTTAGGCAATCTCGATAGTATCATAAGTAAGCCCATTCACTTCATATAATCAAATAACCTCAGTAATTGCCAAAAATATCCTATGCACAAAAGTATAAATTAAGTTTTTATTATTTTAGCTCCAAGTATCTTATATTGCAAATAGGGCTTCTATTTACTTAGGCTCAAAATTTATAGGATTGTAAGTGAAAATTATTATTTACTCTCTGTTGCAAATATAATGGAAATATTTCCTTTTGTTGTCATGGATGTAGGTGAGACAATTTCATTGAACCTCGTAATTTATTATCTTATTTGTTAAATTTTTTGCAATATATATATTTTTTTTTTCATGCTTGCTTTTGCTCTTCAATTTCTCTCAATTGCTAATAAATTTGATTGTCATAAGATTATATCTTCTATAATATATAGTAAGCTGAGGATCGTTATTAGGATGATTGATCTTGGAATAAAGCTAGGACTTTATTTTGGGGCCCCTTTCGGAATTGTTTTCACTCCTGTTTTAAGTATGGGTTTCTTCTTCCCTCTTGTCTCTACCCTTACCTTTTTCCTCTTACAGAATTCATTCATCTCATCTTCTCATTCTATTCTTTCTCTTAACTTCCTATGTTCGTCCTGCATGCTTGATTATCCCCTTCTCAATAATCAAGATATTATAAGGATAATATTTTGTTGGCCTTTCTTTTCCTAGTCTTTTCTATTTGCCATGCATTTGATTGAATTCATCATATGTGGAAGGTTTTGACAATAGATGGGATTTTTCAAAATATGGATGCAGTTTGAATTATGCTGAATTGCTAGGCCTGGTTTCAAGTTCGCTATTTCTCAGGTGCTTTTGTATAAGGGCCGTACATGAATTGTTCTTATTGCGAAGGATATATAATTAGATTATTAACGAATGTTTGGGCAGGTATCCTGCAAATGTTATGGTCCCATTGTCCAAGCCTAACCGTCTTAATGTTAGCCCGACTTTGCCATCAAGTTTTTCCCTACCTTGTGAAGCTGCCCGGGTGTCTTTTTCTTTATCATGTTAGGATCTATGTTGTGCGATCACTTCCAAAACAACATTACCTGAAGATTGTATTAATCTTCAATAAATAAAGTTAGATGAGATGCATTTTTTAAAAGATAGTAGATTTTCTCTTCAGTTATCTAGAAACTTATGATGGATGTGTTTCTGCAGTAACATTTAGCCGGATTGATCCAGAAGGAAAATTGGTCATGGGCTTCAGAAAGGCTGCAAACGTATCTAATAATGAGCAGGTTTGTGATAATCAAGCAGCAAGAATATGTATAAATAAGTTTAAGACATCTATTCCCTCTATGTATAATGACTATAAATGATAGCACATCTTGTTTATATAAGTTTTAGGCTTGTTTTCTTAGTACACTATTGGATTCTACTTTATTAAGGTTTCAATGTAAGGAGGCACATGCAAAATTATTCAGTAGCCGAGTTCTACTGAATTATTTGGCCAGTTGAGTGGAACCTCAAAGTTAATAATTCTTGGTAGAATTAATTTAGTATTTCATTGAAGAAGTCTTCTATTTACAGAAAAAAATTTCTTTATATATAATTCTCTTTTGGCTTTTTTGAATGAATGATTCCATTATTTGCATCAATAGTTTGTTGAGGAATTAGGTCAAGAAAAGGATACATGATTTTTTTGTTTATTTCTTTTATCTATTGTTGAGTGCATTTCAATGGATTTTTATGCATGGCTGAAGTTTGTCTTATCTATTTATGAGAAGGAAAATGCGTGTTGAATTGATGAATTCATCATTTGTCCAGTGCAAAATTGACATGTTTTTCCTTCTGTTGACAGGACATTCAATCAGCTAAAGATGGAAATGGTGGTTCAACACCTTCAGATGTTAAACCCAATACTGTGGATTACATTGCAATCCCTCCTCTTCTACCTCACAAAGGAAACAAAGAGTCAAGAAACCAAACAAATGCAGCAGACAAAGCAAGCTGGTCAAAGAATGACAAGTCTGAATTTATACTGAAGGATGTTTGCGCCCCCAAGTTTGACATTGCTCTTTGTAGAAGGAAGGGGAGCTTTCTTATTTCAAAGAGTAAGCGCTTGAGGATTGAAAGTGCGGAATCAATAGAGCTGAAATTAACATGGGAGGAGGCTCAAGTTCTACTCCGCCCTGCTCTTAATTTTGCCTCTAATGTTGTTATTGTTGAAGGCCATGACTTTGAAGAATATAAGGTACAATCCCAAGATTAAGCATTCAATAAGTATGCTAGTTAAGTTAAAGTAAATTAACGTAAATGTATAAATAATAGTGGCATATGTAGCATAACTGAATTGTGTGACTACTATGTTGTCCCTCACATTTTTCAATGCATGGAATCTTTTATCCTTTCTTTTTCTAAATAATCTTATTCTTTCATGGTTTGCTGATTTGATTGTTGTTAATTGGAATGAAGGCTCCATATATCAATTTGAAGCATTCGTTAATGGCATCTTAAAACTTAAATCTCATGAGAGGGCAAGAGAAGAAGAAAATCATTGCTTTGTATGGAAAAAATAGGATGGCCCATTTGTGTTAACATAATTATGGTAGTTTCATTGTATATTATTGGACAGT